GTATAAAAGATAACGAAAATAAAATTGTCTTTTTCGTTCATATTTTTGATGATATTAAATAATCAGTCCAAATACTTATGTTTATATATATTGCTTTTTTTTTTTTTTTCTTTTTTTTTTAATAAACAACACATTTTTTTGTGTGTTTTTATAACTTTCATGATTTTTTGTCGTTTTAACTTTTTTATTTTTAAAATTATTCTGCTGGAAGATTGTTAGCAACAAATTATTTTATTGCTGAAGTTTTCTGATTTGTTTTTGTTTTTGTATTTATACTGTCTTTTTGTCTTTTCTCATTTATTGTTCGTGTAAATTTTTGTGTGACGAGGCTCGGTGATAAGACAACCTGTCTTCTTCTTGCTCCGGCCAGGATTTTCTTTTATTGTAATTTCGTTTTTGTAATATTTATCAACGGCAAATTAAATAAATTAAAAAAAAAAATCGTTCTTTTTAAAATTTTAAAAGAAAATTGAAATCGAAGTTTTACTATGTTTACATTTTGTACTTTACTATGTTTATATTTTGTACGGAGTTTAATGTACAAAATGTAAACATAGTAAAGCACAAATACTATAAAAACACATGAAAACAAGAATTTGTTATTTTCAATCAATTATATAATTATAGTTATTTAAATAATTATGCCTTATTTTAGCAAGATGGAAGAAATACATGCTTTAAATGATGAAATGAATAATATATAATGACATATTTTAAAATCGTATAATTTGTATTAGTAAAAGCAAATTTAAAAACATCAGTTAAATATAATAGTTCTAAATATATATAGTTTTTTTTGTTTTTGTTTTTTGTGTTTTGATCGCTTTAACAAAGATGAGACTTTTAAATTTAAAAAAAAAATTGTTGAGCGCACTCATTACGACTTTTAACTGCTTTTTACAACCATAAAAAAAAATTTTCAGTGGAAAAATATCTTTTAATATTTAACCAAACTTCGATTTTTTAATAAAAAAAAGACAACAAACTCGACGTACGTTTTCTGTCGATTTGAAGAAATGAGTAAAGAAATAATGGAGTTGGGTAAATCAGATGCAAACCCAGCTGAATTGGAATTGTAATCAACTTCTTTTGAAGCAAACCCGTGGCCATAATTTGACACGTTTGGCATCTTTGAAAAAGACATTGGTTTTGAGTACCAGCTTCCTCCACATCAAAGGTGTGCATGCCACTTGGTAAATTTAGTCGCCACAACTGATGCTGCCTCGGCAGAAAAAAAAATGAAACATACAAAAGGCTATCACAAGCTGCCTTTGGGAAATGCCACGCAATGTGAAACATTACAGGTTAGTGATACTTGGCAGCAGAAACTGTTGAAGATATACATGGCTGTGGAGAGAATGTTAAGGATCATACAAGAAAAAGGCCCCGATGCTATCAGAAATGTATGTGAAGATTTTAAATTAAAAATGTCTTTTTATGTAATTTAATCAGTGTAATCAAATAAGTATATAAAATACTGATTGAAATAATTACTTCAAGTCCCTCTTCTCATATTTTTAAAATATTTATTCCACACCTATTTGTGCAAGAAATGTCTATAAATTTGCATTTGTTGTGGGTCCTACAGGTTGAATCCAGTTAAAATTGTTTTCCTGACGAAATATTGCACTTGTATGAAATCTGTTGTTAAAGCAATGAACATTCTTCAGTCTGAGACTAACACTCACACGGGATAGCTTTTGTCTGTGATCTTTCAGTTACAAACAAAATTCAGCTGCCTTGAGACTTCCTCCAAAATGTATCTGCCTCTTATTACAGCAATTCAAGATGGTGTCCAAAAACGTTTTAGTAGTATGATGCAAGACCCAGAACTTATTGCTGCAACAATTCTTCTGCAAAGTTCAAGAACACCTGGACTGATAGGACTGAATTTATAGGAGAAGGTATGATTTCCTTTTTTTTTATGTCATAGTGTAATCTGTTTTGCCTACTTTTTTACTACTTAATCATCCATTGTTGTTTAAGTACAGTCAAATGAATTTTTTTGCATTGCTAAAAATGTAATATGTATTGTTTTGTTTTTAAACAGGTCTGGTCTATATTAAACAACACATTGATCAGATGGCCGAAGTGGAACAGGTAGGGCAATATTCATCAGATGAAAAAGATTTCTTCTCATCGAAGAAATCGAGAAGATCGCAAGGTACAGGGGAGGTTGGCGGGTACCTTGCTTGCAGTTCGAACAAAATAGATTTGTTGAACTCATTTCCACGCATCAAAAATAATTTTCTTTTAAAATGAACACTGGTCTTCCTGCCTCTGCTGCCTGTGAGCGGTGCTGGACTCTTATTCACTGCAAAGCCGGCAAGAATAAAATTGGCCAACTTTGAAAACCAACTGCTTCTTAAACTTAACAAAAAGTTTGTAATTTAAATTTATACAGAAAAGAATAGACTACGTTATTTTTGTTTTTTTATTCGACAGCTTTGTTACCTGACAAGCTGTTAAAAAAGTAACGCAGTAACTTTTACTCTGAGTACCTTTTTAATTAGCTCCTTTTTACTTTTACTAAAGTAAACGTTTCGACCGGTAACTTTTATCTGTATTTGAGTAAAATTTCACACAAGTAACAGTATTTTTACTTAAGTACAATTTTTTTTTTCACTTTTTCCGCCTCTGTTTTCTGTCATTAAATTTCCAATTACTATAGTTTTTATTAGTATTATGTTCCTATTTTTAAATAATGACGGTCTTGTTTATTGTTACTTTTGTAAAAGAACGGACGTGATGGAAACGCGCGTAATATCGATAATCGATAAAACACGGCTAAAGAAAAAAGATCTAAGGTTTTATGCCGACAAAGTAGTTTAAGGTGTATGTTCTTCCATCGTTCAACTGATAACTTAAAATACAAAAACTTTTTATTTGTTTATTGCAAAAAGTAGAACCACAGCTTAGCAACAGTACCAAAAATTTTTTTTTGAGATTTTTATTTTTAGAGATAATTTGATTCAAAAATTGTAGTTATTTTAAAACCAAGTATTTTTAAAAGTTACTTAAAAGTGTTTTTTTGATTTAGTAACAAAATCAGTTGTAGCATTATATTAATAGTATGCATATTTTTGAATGTCAAGTTTTGATCTCACAAAAAATATGCCTCCCACCAAAAAGTTAACTTCTATAATAAATATTTTTTTAGCATTTGTCAATTTAAAAGATTCAACTCGTCAATTTTCAAGACGGAATTTAGTTTTTAAAATCAATTTATTGTTTTGGAAAACCCTTTTTGCATTACCATTAAATTAAATTTTTTAAAATAGTACTGTCACAGATTTATTATGTCAAAGGTGGGTTGTTTCCTAGTCATTAAAATTCCATTTACTATAGTCTTTATTGGTATTAATAATAACCTTTTATATTTTTATTGCTAAACTTTTGGTCATTTTATAACCCAAATATTTTTGAAAGTATTTAACGCTTTTTTGATTTAATAACAAAATCTTTTATAGCATTATATTATCGTAATAATGTGCATAAAAAAAATATACCTCCTACTAATAAGTTAACTTTTAAGAAAAAACCTTTTTTTCCTTTTAGCACTTGACAATTTTCAAGATTTAACTCGTCAATTTTCAAGACGGAAATTTAGTTTTTAAAATTAGTTTATTTTTTGGAAAACCTTTTTGCATTAATAAAAAAAATTCAATAAAATATTTAAAAAAAAGTAGGCGTACGGGGCAAGATGACGATTTGAGTTAACATTGGTTAATGAGTTTTTCCTCAGCTATTTTTTTTTTTTTTAATTTACATATTTGTCGTTTACAAAAATAAACAATTAAGGCTTCTGAAACAAGATCATAACGAACTTATCATCAGAACCTTTTACAAGTTTTTTAAAATCAATACATTGGCAAGAATAAAAAATTACAATAAATCTTGAAATAAATTGGAAATATAAATCAAACCACTAATGTTATATAAAATAAAGTCTGATCTTATCGTCAGAACTTATAAAAACGTAAATATACAAATACATATATTAATATATTTATATACAAAGTAAATACAGTAATACATCTCTTTTTAATAGGCAAGAGAAAATACAACAGTCTTACAACTAAAAAGGTAAATACGTGGTTGTTATAAAAAGTATTTAAATATATCATCAAAAAATAAAATAAAAATTTTAAGTTTACTTTTAAAGATCGGAAATGTATTGGGTATATCAAAATTACGTATAACAATTTTATTCCAAAGATAAGGTGCTCGAAATGTAATGCAAAATTTTGAACTTTTAGAGTAGTTTTTTGATACATCAGTGACGCGGAATGATTTTTTATCACTTTGTAAATCAAGTTTTAATTCTTGGGACAATTATTGACTAAGATATAGGCGTTTTCTGAAACGTACATCATCTACTGTTACAGATTTATTATGTCAATAGTAGGTCGTTTCCTAGTCATTAAATTTCCAATTACTATAGTTTTTATTAGTATTATATTCTTAGTTTTGAATAATAACGGTCTTGTTTATTGTTACTTTCGTAAAAGAACGAACGTGATGGGAAAGTTGATGCGATTCTTAAAGACGTTAAACCGCTAATAACCTCAAAAGTCATGCAAAAAAAAGAAAAAATCTAAAATATTTTAGTTTAAAAGTTGCATAAGTTATCGACTAATAATAATATAACGATAAGTTTGTTATTTTTTAACTGATAACCTTTAGCATATAACTTATCGTGTATGTTTTGTTTTGATTTTATATTTAAAAAAAAAAAATTGTTGAAGTATAAGATATAAATATGTATTATTTTTTATAGATTTTTTCTCTATTTTTTCTTTCTCTTATATATATATATTTTTTAAATACATTAAAAAATTATAAATTTAAATAAGTTAAAAAAGTTTTTATTGAGGACAAATTTTCTAAACTGAATAGTTTTTGATTTGAAGCATTCATTAAAATATTATCCATAATTTTAAAATGTAAATAAATATGAAATAAAACGAACGTCTAGCTTAAATAATTTTTTTATCTAGGTACAAACATACTTTCCAAATTTAAACAATACAGCTTCTAATGACACAATGGAAAGTTTGCATAAAAGTTATCTTGATGATGCTATGAGTCTTTTACCTCTTTGCTCATCAATCAATACATCAGATGCAGGTTATGATAGCATTGAAAATAAAAGTACAATTTATACGTGCGAAGTATTAAGCTTAGCCGAAAACGTCTCTGAAGTTTGCATTGAATATGGTTACTGCCTAAATTTTGATCAAAACATCATTGACAGCTATTCAAATTGGCCGTGTACTAAAACTGATACATGTTATGGTGTTAAAGTTGTCTTGATTTTAGTATGTGCTTTCAAATAATTTATATATATATATATATTTATAAATTATACAGTATAAATATACATTTAAAAATAATATTTTTTATCAATTCGTTCTGAAATTTTGATTAAAATAGTTTTTATTGTTAAATACATATTTTTTAATTTTATTTCATTACATAATCAGAGTGTCTAATCGCACGTTTTCACGTTCGAATAGACTATATTTAATTGCAGTCTATTCATACGTTTATTTAAAAAAAGGTAAAAATCATCGAATTTAAAGGTTATTTAAAAAAAATTAGATTTGTTATTATTGGTTTTTAACTTTAAAATTAAACTAGCGCAGTGAAGTACTCACGCAGTACTTACGTTGGCTGACTTTTGAAGGATATGCGCACCGTACCCAGCGGGGATTTGTTTTTAAAAGTTACGTTCTAAATGTATTTTAAATATCTAATAAATGACTTATAAACATTCTTGCGTAAAGAAAGATTAAAAGACGTTTAAAGAACGTTTAAAAGACGTAAACCAACATACAAGGGTATAAACATGTTTGCTTGCATTACATAGATATAATCATATAGAGACAAATCATATAGGAAAATCAGTCTTTTTAATGTCGACTTTGACATTAAGCAATTGAGCGTTTAAAACGTAACTTTTAAAAACAAATGCCCGTTAGGTAGTGTATATACATACTGATTGCTTATCTAGGGATAGGTCTGACTTTATCTTTGAAACTGAATATAAAAAATATTTTTTTTTGGTCTCAAATGATATGAAATTAACAATTTCACTGAGGTTTGAAATTAAGTTTAAACTTTAATTAAATTTAATTTAAACTTAATTTAAGAATTAAAACTTAAAATTGTATTAACCAGTTTGTATTGAATTTAAAAAAATACCGGAGAGTTAATCTATTTCGAGGTATATTATCTATTCGACACTAGCCTTGACAACGCGCCAAAATTTTTATTTGCTGAAGGTTGAGTGAAGCGCTAATAAGTAAAATGGATGCGGACATGTAGAGCAAAAAAATAAATAATAATAATAATAATAATAATAATAATAATAATAACGATTTATACGAACTGTCTTAAAAGTAAAATTACAAGAAGTTAATAAACTGTAATATATTTTTTTATACAAGATGACAAAATTTAAACTAAGATTCATTGTCATGACAGTTTTAAAATTTTTTGCCTAAACTCATCAGTGCATCTTGAAGATTTTATTATTGCTAGATATTTTAGAAATATATTTGCAAAAGTGCGGAAATGTCGGTCATAAATACCAAATTGAAACTTTTTTAATACAGATAAAAATTGCTTCATCAAAAACTTTTTAACAAAACTTATCTAATAATTGCTCAAGTAAAACCAAACAAAATACGCATCATTGAACAATATTGTCAAAAGAAATAACAATCTTCTACTTAAGTCATCAATTTACCACATTTTTTATAATAAAATCAGTATAATCATAACCACTTGTTCATTAAATATAACAAGCAATATATCAAATTGAAAATTATGATTCAGCCTAATTTTTATACTCTGTTCAGGAAAGTTATTAAAAATTTTGCATATCTGCTCATTTAAGTATTACTGAAATGACCATTGGTACAATCATCGAAACTATTCATTTTTAACTGCAGAGAAAGTTTTGCATGCTGGATTCAAACTTTTTCTATGACAGACTGAGCAGTAATAATTAAAGGTTTCTCCAAAACTCTGGTATAGCTTGTTAAAAGTTTTCTTTAATGGATTTGTTGTGAACCACATCAAAATAACGTAGTCATTTCCAGAATCCAAAAAGTTCACATGCAATATAGACTAATCCCCTAAAAATGAGAACTACATTTAGAGGTATCTTTTGTAAGCTGCATAATATATTTTGTAACTGACTTTTTTATTCTTTCAACAATTTTTGTCACATTTAATGAAAAAAGCAGACTTTTATTTTTGTGTGGTTTTATAACTGCATGTTGGATTCTTATGGATTTTTATAACGAATATCTATCTAAACATCACACAGGTCAGGTTAGGTTATCCTGCTACTGGTAAGATGTAACACAGTACAACCTGCTTCATGTCCTGCTGCCTTGTAGATACGCTTTTTGAGACAAAGGCTAGGAGAAGCCAACTCCAACTTAAAACACTCTGTCTTGGGGCTTGTGGTTGAGTTAAGGCTTCTCGACAAAAATAATCATCTTGAACAGATGATAAACGCATCCGGCTAATGTCTTGCAAAAGGCCTTCTAGATAAAGGCTAAAGAGGTAGATAGATTCTATCTGTTTACCAGCTTCGCACCCCTTCTTCATGAATTAGGTTAGCGTAGATGTATTTATAGTTCATTGTTTCCAGTTTAGGATGGTGAATGCGGCATCTTCTTGACTCAATACGTCAGGTTTCTCGAACTCTGTGGTAGTTCTTAGAGAGGCTGATTCCATCAACTGCTGTAAAATATCAGAGTACTAACAGTGCCATGTTGCGCATGGATGGTGTGTCTGTTCTAACTTTTGGTTTGTATTGTCGAGGCCACATTTGGAGTCTTATGTTTTGGCTTAGGGTTTTTTAATAGCAATGATGCAATTGCTTGGTCTATTAGATATTGTACTGAGTGTACAACATGTGCTTTAAATTAAGTTCTTTAACCAATTTAAAAAACGACTAAAGTATCAAAAACTATAAAACACAAAAAACAAATATCATCACTAAGTTCTCTAAACCTATCATTCACTAATATTCGTGGTCAAAGAACTAAATTTTCTTCTGTTGAGCTTTATCTATTTCAAAGTTTGCCAGATCTACTTGCTCTTTGTGAGACTAATTTGAGTTTGGATACTTCATTTTGCAATATTATTATTGATGTTTATCTTCCTTTAATTTGTGATGCTACCAATAGTCACATGCTTGACCTTGGCATTTACATTCGTAAGAATTCACAAATTTTTCAGGAAACTAGATTTGAATCGACAGAATATTATTTTATGTACTTTTGTTTAGCACCACTTCACTCTATTTTTTATTTGCACTCTTTTCGATGTTATTTCTGATCAAATTAATCAAGTCCTCTTTCTTTATCTTTCAGACAATATCATTATTGTTAGTGACTTTAATTCTTATCACACTAATTGGCTTGGCTCTAGTGTCAGTGTCTTTCTTGATCTCTTACTCAGATAGTTAACTTTCCAACTCGCTTTTCAGACAACCCAAATCATTTAATTTCTCTACTCGACTTACCTCTTGTTTCTGATCCTAGTCAGCACTCAGTTTCTTTACATTTACCTATAGGTGCTTCTGATTACAGCTTGATCTCTCTAAAACTGTTATCTTATTCTTGATAATAAAACTTTTATCTCGTTCACGATGATAGGAGGATTCATCCTGAGGATCCCCCTATCATCATACCTCCGACAACTATCTTAAAGCTGATTGGGACTCTTTCCATTACCTTATCATACCTCCGACAACTACCTTAAAGCTGATTGGGACTCTTTCCATTCGTGATGGCCCTTGGGTTGAAATCTTTCGTCTTCCTGCTGACAAATGTGCTTCCTACATAACTTCTTGACTTTAGGCTGGAATGGAATCTTTTATTCCGTCTCCAAGTCAAGCTTCACTCTTCTCCATGGTTTTCCTCACATTGTGATGCTGCAATTTCTAATTGAAACAACTACTTTCATTTCTAACAGCAAAATAATTATCCAGAAAACAGACGTCTGTTTACTATTGCTAGAAACCATTTTTTAAAAGGTTTTGTTAAACACCAAAGCCCACTATTCTCAGGTCATGAAATCTCGTATTTCTTCTAAATAATAGATTTTCGTGACTTCTGGAGAATCTTTAATTCTATAAATAATAAAGTTGAATCTGTTTTCCCACTCTCTTGTATGGTTAAGATTTTGTCACCTCACCTAAAGAAAAAGCTGAATTGTTTGCTAAGGACTTTCATCAATATCATCTTTTGATTACAATAGTCCCTCTTTACCTGATTTAGCTGGCAAACAGATTTATTCATTGCTTGATGTTCGTATCACTCCAGCTTCTATATCTAATAGAAATATTTGTCTAAACTCTTCTATAGCTTGTGGCCCGGACAACATATTTGTTATAGTCTTGTAGAAGTGTTTTTCGAAACTGTCGCCTATGCTTTCAAAAATATTTTACAAGTGCTTATCAGAGTATTAATTTCAAGCATGCTTGGCATGGAAAGCGGCATCTGTTATCCCAGTTTTAAAAAAATTCTAGAGAGCGATCTGACTTGTCAAACTATCGTCCCATTAGTCTTCTTTCTATCATAAGCAAGGTTTTTGAATAAACAGGAAAGACGGGAACGGAAATAAGACGGAAAAAAAAAAGAACGGAAATAAGACGGAAAAAAAAAAATTTATTACTCCTGTTTTATTGTCTTAATAATTTACAATCGTTTGCGAAGCCACATTCGTTTGCAAAGGCTATATAAAAGTACAGTACAGGAAGTAATTTACTGTTTAGGATGGTAAACTTCCAATAAAGTAATAGAAGATGGAAATAGAAAGCAATTTCTTAAACCAAGTAAACTGGCTATCTTTTGGACATGGTTATTAATCTCCTGTCTCAAAACTGTTGTACGAGTGGTGCGATAAAATTTCCAAGTATGTCTTACAACTACCAACAAAATAAAAGATCTTGAAGATGAAGAAAAAAATAATTTGAAAATCATTGACAGTCTGAAAGATGACCTAAGTAAAATAAAGCAAAATGTAAATCTGCCAGTATTGGCAACGAATAGGTGCAAATTGTTACAAAAGGTAGCAAAAGTAGTAAAAAGCCACCTGAACAATTAGTGGTTGCTAATGCAACCATAAATGCTGCATGATAGAAAGAAGAGTAAAAAGAAATTTAATTTTTTTGAATTCCAGAATCAATTTGAGCAGATCTTTTCAATTAAGAGAAATGAAGATGAAAAAAAAGATAAAAGATGTTTTTGATTTTATCGGCAAAGCAGATATTAAATCAGTTTATACCAGAAGA